ATTTAAGGAAGCCACAGATTTCTTCGCTGCAAAACGCTTTTACCTGAGTGACATGTCGAGGCTCGTGACTAGAATCTCTTTGCAATAGCTGCCTGGGATATCGAAGGACGTGCATTTCGTGCGGTCGCTGCTTTTGTAATTTTGAACTGGAAACCGCGTGCCTCGAATAACGTGTTCCTTTAAGAAAATTTTCATGTAGTAACATTCTATTCTATGGCATTTTTTAATAGAACGATTCACCGTAATTGTTTCATAATGATCAAATATCACAACTATCACATGTATTGTCATTATTTTTATTTCAATTTTCCAGATATATTCTTTGCAGTCTTATTTTTATAATATTACAACATTGTATAAATTTCTTATATAATATCGAAAAATGAATATTATATACTGATTTCATTAGAATATAATAAGATTATTTTTTTTAACAATTTAGAGTGCTGTTTTAAATGTTTTAAATAATAAAATAATTTTATATGTATTGAAAGATGATAAACGCGCTAAAACTGTTATGATAATGCTATTTAATATATCGTATAAATAAATTATTTTTCAGTTATTTTATTTCTGAAATTGTTGTATTGTATAGGAACGATACCCAATACCCATGAAAGCCCTTACTGGATTCTTTATTGACAAGCACTTTTATTTTAGAGCCCTGACTAGAATTTTTGCGGTGCCAGCTTCCAATATTGAAGAACACACGCTTAGACCTAGGTGTACGTTTGGTGGAATTCCATCTTGAATTTGCTACTCCCGCTATTTTCATAACTTTGCCCTATCTAATTTTTTTCGTTCCATTTATTATACTTACCATGAGTTCAATTTAATTTTATGAAATCTAAATTAATTTTTTTCCATAAAAATACACATGGAAACAATGAATTTTGAATTAGAAGAGCTGAACATATTTGGTAATCGTTACGTTTATTGATTTTATTTGATTTTTATTATTTACTGATAAGTTCAATTTTATTGTGTGATTGGATTGCACAATTTATTTCTATCGCTTCAGCCTACTCGATACTTTTCAGAAATGAAACTTCTTTATTGTAATAACATATTGTACATTTACTTCCGACGAAAAGAATAGCAAGTGTTATATACGCATATCTTTGTCCAGCTAAAATTACTCGTTAAATATACTGCAGAAAATTAGCTACTTTTCGTATTACAGTGGTCTTAGGATTAATATCATGGCATTAGATACCGTACAATTACACTAATTATTGTAAATTGGAGCGAAGGAAATTGTCGCCACTTTCATTAATTTACCATTTCTTGGTGTAGTCTCGTAAAAGATACTGCCAAAGAAATGAGATAAAAATGTGAGTTGTTACTACAAATTTATTTTACGAACTTCAACATCGAATTTATAATCGAATAATATTTCCAAAAGGGATCCTGTTCCTCGTTAATTGGAAAATTAACAATTGAAACGGGTCAAATTGATTAATTATTTCTTAATTCTGTATCAATTTTAATATGAAAATACTAGTGATCTGTTTTCAAACTTCAGTAAAGCTTTACATAAAAATATGATAGTCCATTATTAACATAGTGACGAGAAGAATGCACTACATAGTACATAAATAACTTATTTATCTCGCTTTTACTTTTATATACATTTCACTTTGCAACTAATTAATTAATGTTATATTGCAAGACTCGTTCCTTAAAAATTTCTTTTATACATAATTACTACGAAATGAATGAATAATTTAGAAGTTTGTTGCGAAGTAAAAAGTACGAAGACCATTGGATGAACTGATGGTAGAAGATAAATTAATCTATTCTATTTAAATGATTAAAATGCTCTCAATATACCTTTTGTGAAAATTTCAAGCGATTTTATTCCTTACTTACCTTCTTATTTTCAGTCCCTTTTTCAATATAAGTGAGTCCGGAAAAAACGGAGTACGTATCTAATTTAAAAAATATCCGTTAGGCGTACGTCTTTTGAATTGATTTAATTAGAGGTGTTTTAATTAAATTTAATTAAACATCCTTCAAACAAAACAACAAATTGATGATGATTTTGAGAACTGGAACGAAGATGTATGCATCAGATACGGTGAAAACTATAATGATTTGACGAAAGAAGATGATTGAATTAAATGTGTTGTCTTTTCTCGATGTATTCCTGAAGGATGTCCGATATTTAAAATTATGTCTGAGCATTGTGGCAAAAAAGGAAAAAAAACAAGTGTTTAATAAATAACTTTCATAGTATCTAAAAATGTTTTTTATATATTTTTATAAGTAGTATATTTTGTACTTCTGTAATAATAGTAGTTGTGATAGTAGATAATAATAGAGAGTCTTCTTTTCTCCTTATTAAAAAAGCTTTTCCAATAAAAGTAGTTACCGCAAACCAATTTCATGAGCGATTATAACTTACGTGAAAATGGCCCACCTCACCCGTAGTGCAAGGAATAGCCCAGAAGCTAAAATTTTATTTTCCTCTTTCTGTAGTTATTTATGAAAATATTATGCTGCGATTCTTACATACTTCAAGAAGGATCGTTCACCACATAAACCCACGAGTGAAAAATATATAATATTCCTAAAATGCTCGATTTTTGAGTGTTTTTAAAAACCTGATCCATCTCTACCATGTTTACTCTAAATAATAGAAAATTTCTAGAAATAAAATTCGAGATCCAAGGGCAACAGGAACTAATGAAACACAGAATGACTAAAAAATGAAAGACAATCATTGAAATTAATAAAAGATACTTCGGTGACTATAAATATCTTAATTTTAATTTTTGTTAGAATCATACAATTTGTATATAAATTTTAATATTTATAACATAACATACTACAGTGTCTTCGCTCACCCTCTATATTTATCTCAGCAATTTAATTTAACAATAAGCTAAGGAAATTCCACAAATCGAAAGTTACCAAGTATTTGTTAATATCAACTTTACGAACCAAAATGTTTCAATATTACGTAACCGACTAGTGCTGCACTTTTCCGGTTCAATAATAAAATTTCGCCGGAAGAATTTTAGGTGTGCTATAAACTCGTAACACACAGAGTTTGTTGGTTTACACGAGTCAAAGCTCATTGGCCATACTGCGTCTAATAGCGAGTTCTAAAAGTTAAACAGATTTTCCAGTGCTGGGTAAGACAAACCCTCTTTTAATATACAGATTTCTCCGTGATTTTCATCCGTTGCGGCTCGAATTCCTAGAATTAAATGCTCGTTAATGGTGCATGTCTATAACGGATTTATACGGGCATTATCCTGTTGATGGATTTGAACCGCATGATAAAACTGTCGTTGCCCACTGGCGTCTAGTTTTTATTCACCTCCAAGAATTGAAAACTCATAAATTGCAAGGTGACCCGTAAAAGTTTCCCGAATGAATAAATGATTTCTTTAATTAATTAATATCATAGTTTTGTTTTGGTCGAGTTCAGACAACTGGATTTATTATTGAACATTTTATATTTATTATAATTAATCTCAGAAGTCTACAGACTTCATAAAAAAGACCATTTGTATTTAAATAAGGCATATTTATATAAAGTCCTATAATAATATATATTTCCTACTATACTAAATAACAAAAATCTAATAAAACAGAATTTTAGTTATCTCGGTATAAAGTACATTAACTTTGTAGTACTTTTCATTAGAATAAAAATGATTTTTTTGAGACGAATAAAATGAATGAAAGTAAAAAATGTAGCGAATACTATACCTTTATGAAATATAAATTAGATAGAATATAAATTTATATATTAGCTTCATAAAATAAAAATAAATTAAGTAAAATTTATAGATGATATATAAAAAAAACACATAGAATGTAAATATTAATGAAAGAATGTAAATTTTAATGAAGTATATTTTTGAATATAGTACTTATGTTAGATTCGTTTAGTCGTGTTCCGAGCTTTATCGCTACGTACCTTGTTTTTGACAAGAGTTGACAGATTTTTCAATAGTAGCTTCTATGTTCGTTGCATAATATATTCACTTTTCCTTCATCTTAGCTATACATATGGCGTAGTATGGTAAAAGTCAACATGCTGCCAGTAAACAGGGAACAATCACGTAAATTCCCAGTCTTGTCTCTTGGAATTATTCAGTCTTAGGAATTGTACCTCTACCGTTGTATTTGCGAAGTTCAGCCTGTGAACGCAAACAAATGGTTTTAATCCGTTTAACATAAATGCCACGCGGTTTAATTAAATTTCAGCCAGGAGATAATAACCTTTGCGTTCGTGAAAATGATTTTTTTCTCTGTCCATGTCACACCTCACAAATTTTGATTTCCTGTTTTGCAATTGCCATTTGTTCCTTTTTGTTTAACCTTACCCAATTATATTCCATTCGTAATTATTACCGTTTTCGGATTTTTTAATTCTATTACTAAAATATTTATGATATTTTTCACTGTCAAATTAAGATATTCTGATGAAGAAAGTGTTCCATTATTGATAATTATTAATCATTATTATTATGTTCACCATGATGTTTCATTACCCTTTCTTTTTTAAAATATTCTGTATATGATATTTATTATTTAATGTCCCATATAATTTCGCGGCAGAGATGAATTTTCTAGTTAAAATCACGTTCGCAGCAGAACGCTCTTTACAAACGCCTAGAACGTTTTGCCTCAAGTTATCACTGTCAAAATACTCCAGTCTCTGTCTTAATTATTCGACTAATGATGTGCAGAACGAAACACTATTTCATACTTTCATTATGATTCCTAATTACACGCTCCTTAAATAATTTCGTACACAGTATTTTGGTTTCATTCGGTTATTCCTGGAATTTACCATTCTGTAGCGTAATGAAGTAAAACGATTATATCCTCTCATAGTTCATTTTTTACTTACACTGTCACAAATGTCGTAGAATAATTCGTATTTAAATAAAGGCAAAGTTATAAAAATCTATATGTAAGAAAATGTTGTTGTATATAAACTTTAAATAATTTTGTATTGTTCGATTTGTTAATGATAGGTGGACACACCAGATAGTGTTCTGCAAAGTGGATTAGGCTTGGGACCAGATATGGGACACACAATTTTACGTTCTATGGTGGATCCAAGAGATTACGATCGATTAAGATATTTGCAAATGAACGGTGGTCAGCCAAATAGCTTCGAGGAAACCATACATAGGGTATGATTTTCATTTATATGTATCATTTATATTTTATAAATATTAAATGATAACTTATAAGTTACAGTTTTCATTTTATCAGAGATAATGAAAAATTGAAATATAAAATTTAATTAATAATTTTGTCTAATTTGTTTGTTTTATTAAACATTGTAATTCTTTAAAAAAAAAAAAGATTGCGAGCTTTTTGTTATCTTAATTATCCACGTCTTTTGTTATCTTAATTGAAATTGATTCACCTAGGTACGTTTGTTTTATATAAAATTCTTCAAAAGTTTTGAAATATCTCTTCGTACTATTATTGAATTTTTGGTCAATACGGTATGTAGAGAAGACTTTACTGGTTTATATTTTCCAGCTGAAGGTTCAAGAGGCGCTGAGAAAGAAGGAACGATTTCATAAAGAACACGAAGAGGTGAGTGTAATTTAAATTAATGTTCACTCTTCCTTTTTTTTATAACTAATGAATTTTTGTTTGTACGAATACCAAAGAAAGGAAGTGAGTTAGATTCAATTCATAAGAGAAACGAATAAAAGCAATAAGCATGATCAATTTAATGGTGCATTGGTTCAGCTTTTAGTTTTATTATCGTTCTTATCAAAAGCTTATCAACCTTTATATCTTGAAAATTATATTATTTTCCTCTAGATATGTTATATATTTTGCTATTAGTATTATCTATAAGATATAATTAATCGTAATGATTAATGAGCAATTGACAATTAAAGCGCAATCGTATAAATGATATAACAAAGTATTATATAAAGACAATTATTTTATCGAATCACAGCATATTGCGAATGCGACGTATGTATATATCTTTCTCACAATTTCATCGAATAAATTTTGGGAATAATATAGAGACAATTAAAACGAGGATAATTTAATTGTCGAATAATTTAAGAACAGAATAAATTTAAAAATAATTTACACAATAAATGGCGGCAGAGGGTGATAGAACTTATTAAAAACCCAATCTGCCCTCCGCAATTCTCTACTAATTTTATTTGAAATTGATTGTGAGAAATAATCTAGCTGAGATTTTAGACTTGAAATCCTGCATAAACATATTGATTTTTAAATACTTCGATTCTACTTTAATACAATAATGAATCTTGAATCATGAAGATTTCGAAAAATATAACATATTTTCGCAAATATTGAGTATACTCTTACAATAATACTATAACAGGCTATTTTTGTATAAAAAGAGAGCGAGTATGCAAAATTTCAACTAAATTGGTGATGAAAATATTTTGATATATCTTGATTAATTATATTATTATACATAATATATTATACGTAATATATTACATATTATATTATATACAATACATATATACATAATATATATAATATTATGTGTAATAATATAATAAGCAGTAAGTGCTGTGATAATTGTATCAAAATTATCACATGGAGATAAGATTGGTGTACACCTTGAGTAATAAGGCCAGTCTCGCAGAAGATTACTGATAACTTTTTAAAAGCACTAATCCCCTTTTCCTCCTGTTCGAGTGAGATGGACGAAACACATGTGGAAGGAAGTTGAAACTCGTAAAGGAGCTCGTAGCTCGAGAGGGAAGTCGGAATGGTATCGTTGAAGTTTGCGGAAAGGACTGGTCAAGATTTGGAACGGGCAACGTGAGGGACCAACTGGATCATCTGGGATTATTTGACAAAAGTTTCTAAGCTGCTTCGTAATAGCAGAGTTTGTCATCCAATTTACTGACTAAAATTCAGTACGAACTTTATCGAAATTTCTTTACTATATTATCTCATTTTATTACTATTGATTTATCTGAGAAACAAATTCTCAGAATTGATTGACTTTGCTTTTTACACATTTTTTTCATCACTCTTATACCTATACATTTTCAGATTGGTTTGATATTTTATCTCGCTTTTCTATATTGTCTAGCTGTTTTTTTATACACGTTAGTTATTTTTAAAAGTAGATTCGTCATTCACTTCAATAATAGATTACGAAATAATGGAACTGTTTCTGATATGGACTGGGAGTTGCATGCATAGGAGTTGTTTCTGATCAAGTAATTCTCGAGTTAACAGGTTAGTTAATTATGTTTCAACACCTCAATTCCTACACAGGTGTGAATTCGATGCGTCCGACTATAATTATCACGCTTGCGAATCACATATGTATGATCGATGCTGTAGCATTATCATCAAGAACCCTCATGGGTTCTTAGTGTTTCTCGTATCCATTTACGTTATAACTATTCATTTAATTTGTATTCAAATATTTATAATAAGAATAATTATACTTATTACTATGAAACATATAATAAATCCAGGTATATTTTTTGTAGTTCCATTTGACATAGAAAAATATTTGAGTATTTATTACATATTCTGTTACTTATAATAATTATAGCTATCAGGGAATATAAAAATAGAAACAGAGCTAAGATACTAATCCGTGTTTGTGAGACTAACATGTCTTCGTTGAATATAATACTATCAAATATATATTCTTTCATGAATACTACTCAAACAATAAATGACATTAGTAGGGAGATTAACAGAAATGCTTTATTTCTATTGGAAATCTTAACTTCTGTCACTTATCTCGTTTTAATCGTTTGTCATCTTAACTCCGTCTAGCGATCATCCACCATTTGTTATTAGCAAGTATTATAAGAAAATAACAATGATCCAACTTCGAACTTCTCACTAAATTACTATCCGGAAGGTCGTCTATAGTAATGTAACTGTATACTATGTATGTACTATATAATCGCAAATAACCCTGAAATAAGAAATAGCTTCTCATACTAAACAAATGACACGAATTGTCCGCGTAAAAGTTGAACTTACGCGTCTAAAATGTCATATCAATGACTTGTATAATACTTGGAACAAGAAAAGAAGCAGAAAGTGGAGAAAGGGGAGAATGATGACGAGGATAGTTGACGAGGTGGTCGCCCACGGGATTATCCCGCAGTTTCTCGCGTGGCAAAGGAGAAGTCAACCGGTTGGTGGAGAAAATAGAAGGTAGGGAATAGGGAGGGAAGAAAAGAAGATCCTCCCTAGGGAGCAGTAAACCTTCGAAGGTAGAAGTGACACTAAAACTTTTACACGGATACAGACCTTTATTTCCATATTGTTCGCAACCTCAAAGGAAACTCTCCGTTTTATTTCTTCCTATCTTTTTCTGCCTGTTTGAGTAGCCTAGGGCCAAGAGAAGCCAGTCAGTTTCGGCTAATTTCTGGGGGGCCCTTTTTCAATCCCTTCAATTCTCTGAAAGGACCAGGCTAACTTTTCTCGCATATGCGTGTATGGAATCGTCAGTTTCGCGTAATTAAAATTCGGACCCCGCCTGCCGTTACCATAAACTGTACATGTAGACGCGATACAACGGCTACCCTTCGTTCTTTCTCCGTTACAAACTTCCTGATGAACGTTGGCAATGTTTCGTTGTAACAATGTATCCTCTGGGATGGACTATTGTACACGGAACTTCGTATTTTTTATAATATTATGTTTTGCTTCTGTGCTTCTTTTAACTTATTTATTTTAATCTTTCGCGCGATATAGGTAAATAGCATAGGAAAACAAATAGAAAAGTAATAAAATGTATAAATTACGATCATCTACAATTTTACAATTTAACGGATTTGTAGATTTTAAATTCTATATAATGTATATCGATGAATCGATATTTGAACACCTTTCCTTCTACAATGCGAGGAACAACCATATCATCACCATAGAAAGGCAAAAAATTTATATAATAAGAATTCGCTGATTTCTTCGTGGCCTATGAGGAAAGTTTCGTTTGCATAATACAATAGTAAATGTGGTTAGAATTCAACCAACTTCAAAAAATTCCAATAGATGGAACCGTCTATAGATGGTTCAGATTCAATCAATTTAAAGAAATTCCAACAAACGAAATCGCTCACGACTAAATCAGATTGAATCAAGTTCAAAAATTAAAAAAAAAAATGAAGTTCAGATAATGAATGTTCTATTATAAATAAATAAATATATTTTCATAATAGTGCAGTGGCGGACCAAGATTTTTATAATAAGAGTTCAGAGTAGTGGGGTCACCGTGCTGCAGGTTCAGTCTATTTCAAAATATTTCAACAAATTTTCCATTGTAAATTAATGTATATTCTAATCACGTAGTCGAACGGAGATTCATTCACGCCCTCGTTATTGTCCTGTTTCAGATACTGAGGGACATCCGGCAGGGTTTAATGCAGCTTGGCCGAGACGGACGGGGTCAGCTCCCTGGAGGTAAGTACGTCAAGGAGTGTAACCTCTAGCTAGTTGTCGCCTTGTCTCTCTGCAACTTATAGCCCAGTCTCCTCGAACCAACCAGGCCACGTCCTTGGTACGTTCCTGTGTGCGTGCTTCTGTTATAGTACACGACCAGTGTGTCTACCTTGAGCAGAACTTGCACGTGCCAGCCAGTCTGAGAATCGACTCCCAAACGCCTGACACTTCGTACGTTTCACCCGCACCCTCTAGGGACTCATTTAACGCGTTCGTTCTACGATGCCTCTTCTTCTGTCCCTTTCCCGCTTTCTTTTTCTTTTCAAGAAATCTCGGTGCACTGAAACGAAATTGCCGCCGTAGACAAAAATTCTCTTAAACGGAAAAACTTTTGAAGGAATGTCTTCTGCTTGTTTTAGGATCCGAATGGAAGTTTAGGTTAATCTTGTTGTGAGATGTCAAAGACGATATGTATATCTTTCTTCTCGTTCTACTTGAATTTTTTGTAAAATACCTTGCAACTCTTCTAGGATTCTCAATCTGCTTTTATTCGTATTATAAATGAATATTAAGAATCAAAATTGGTGTGCACATTTAGGATTTTGTTGACTTTTAATAGTTTTCAATCAGGTAACCCGCTGTAATTATTTTCAGTAAAGTACTAGCATAAATATTGAGTAGCTCACGTGTGTGAAACATTAAGAATCCACTATCAATCCGAAGATTTATAACGTTGCTTTAATTTTTTGGTATCACTTTTTTTCAGACAAATTATATCATTGAATACTTTTTTATTTATGAAAACAATTTTCAAAGATATTCTTAACAGGTCTTTCGTTGTTATTTTTTCTTTCTCCTAGTTCTTGTACTTTTATAAAGTTTATATGAAATCTAAGTATTGCTAGCTTTATGTTAAACCTTCTTATTTACATTCATATTCCTTTTTAAATCACAAAAATCTTTTTTACGTTTGATCTCTAGTTATGTAGTAATTGTGAGTATATTTATTATATCTATAAATTGTTTGTAGCTAAATCGATGTTATTTCTAACTATCTAATTATCTTATAATAATACTCTGTTTAAGCGATTTTATTTATTCCTACTTATATGCATTATTTTACTACTTGATCCTATAAATCCTATAAATCAACCTATCTTCTCCATTATGAAGGTATATAAAAAAAGCACTTGATCAAATATAATAACATATATCGGGTGTCATAAAGAAGATCAAATAAAGTATCGAGAGTAATGTTTCCAGGATCCTTTAAATTTCCTATTACCGATTTATCACTGACTTGGGGAGTTTTATTCGCGATCACGTAGTCGACGAAGGCAATGGTACCAAGCCACGAAGCCCCTTCTATGTTCTGGCTAATCTCGTTATCGTCAACAACCGTCGACTGCTTTCTCCGCGGCTCGCTTTCCCGATCCCCTCATTTTTTCTCGCGCCCACACGCACGTGCACGATCCTCAGACGCTTGATTTCGCTCAGTCTTTCGCACCAGCAACGGCACTCGAGGTCTTCTCGCGTCTCGAATTACCACGCATTAGCGCCATGCTACACTTTACCAAACGAAACACCGTGCAATTTCTCCGAGAAGAATTTTTACCATCCACTATTGCTGCGCGAAACGATAAAAACCGTTTGATAAGTTGATGTTGATAGAATTTCTCTTTAGGAGTAAGAATAAAATAGAAAGAAACAGAATGGAGGTTCAAATTGCTTGAGAGGAAGAGAGCAGTAAGACTGGCTTTATTAAATTGCATATTTGTTTTCAATTCGTTTTTTAATATTATTGTTGAATTATCAATTTCATACATTATTTTTTTTGTATATATCGGTCGAACTGAAAAGCTCTACTTTTTATCAATTTTTCAATTTTTTTATATAAGTGCTCGATTGACGTTCAATTTTGAGAAAACGAATTATTTATTTTCGTGAGATCGTTTTTTAAAAACGTATGACGTAAATAATAGCAAATTACGAGATAAATTAAGAATTTATGAAATTGATCAATGTGTCTTGTGAATGATTTATATGCTTAACAGATGTTTAAAGATGTTAAAAAATATGCTTAATGGTGTTAAAAAAAAAAAAATGGTAGTAGAGATAGGCTTATTTTTCTATATTTAAAGTTAATTAAAATCTTGTATTTTCATTGAACAGATCGAAATTCTAAAATTTTTATATTATTATATATCTAAGATTTTATTTTATCTGTATATTTGTATTTTAAACGTAATAAATATTTTTTAAATGAAGTTTGGCCAATGTTGCGTTTGATATCAGCGAACATGTGTTTTTAATTAAATGTAGAGAAAAATAAATACTTATTGTCGTCATTTAACTTCAAATTCACTAATATTAATATTAAGAAATTAGTGAAAGAATTTATCGTAATATTGCTGCTTTGTATTTCAAGGTAATGACAAATGTATTTTTAATGTTCAGATGACACTTACATGTACGACGAGGATGCACGTTGCGGAGGAGGACTGGGTTTGGGTCCTGGAGGTCAACACTGGTATGACGAACCTCCATATGAGTCAGACCCCGAAGACTTCCTCATGGGAGCCAGTGGTGGTCCTGTACCAACAGCGACTATTCAAAATGGAAGGTGAAGCCCGCAAACATTTTTAATCATATATAACAAAATACATAAAGTTTATGAATAGTGCTAGTCTTATAGTTTAATAACAAAACGAATAAGAACCATACATGTCTATAAAACGTACTTGCAGATTATTTCACGATATTGAAAATTTTAATGTAAATTTCTCATAATATTTGATTCAACTAAGTATTAGATCTTCAATATTAACGTATACATAACATGAAGTATTATTGCGCGAAATCAAAGGAAATTACTAAAAAGTTAGAAAATAAGTATTTTCTCCAGATTGTCTTTATGTTTCTTGTTCAAATATAAAACATAAGTTTTAATAAAAGCGGTCTTTCCCAACTTTTCTTCTTTAACGTTTGCGTCATATTTTATAAATTATTTTTAAATACAATACAATTTTTGTATGATGTTGAATAATGCAACACCTTTATTAAATAATATAAGCTACAAATAATATTTTACATATTTTCTTTTATTCTTCATTTTAAAAAGTTTCGACGTATTGAATAATATAAATTTCTTATATAAGTATAGTGCTTTTAATTTCACAATATATTACTTTCATGTATTAGTTTTTCTAAATGGGCACGTAATAAATGATTAATGATTAATGATAGCATAAAGCATAAAATTTTAGTATCGTTCATTTTTAAGGATACAATTTTGAAACTAATAGTATGTAGAAGAAATTTTCGAGAGCTTGAGAAAATGCTTGTATTTTGTTTCAGAGTATGTTTCACGCTGAATTTAAGGCCAGAAAACAGAAGTGAGGGAATTATTTCGCTTCGAACTGCCGGAGACATCAGTCTCCCGCGAGATCGTTCCAGGAAAGGTGCAACTTCGACAATGCGAGGTCTTATTGTGCCACAAGGTCATAATAATCCACCAGCTATCATACCACTTACGCACTCGAGAGCTTCTCGAGAAAGTGGAGACTACGCGAGTAGCGACGTCCAGGTAAGTTCGCATAAAGAAATCCCTTTCGAAAGATATTGCATATAGTCTTATCACAGCAACAAATGGTGTGAACTCTAAGGCGACATTCAAGCACTTTATACATATATGTAGCTCGCGATAACGCAAATGGTATTCTTAAGCACTCTTCGTGAAGCAGTTCATGAAATTTTTATTTTAGAGGCAAATTCAAAGGATTCTGGTAAAATATTGTACAAGAAATTTTTTCCTATATTACAGTATTTTAAACAATATAAAATTTACATATTTGTGTTACAATTGGTTTAATAGCATCAAAAGATTGTATATATTCCTCTTGTACTTTATTACATACTATGAGAGATGTATTATTAACATATTGGTAAATATATGACATAGAACTATAACGCTTTAAAATCAAATATTGCTAGAACATTAAGTAAAATGAAGAAAGTTTTTATCAGTTATGAACAGATACGTAAATCGAATAAGACACGTATCAAACGATAGAGATTTATCTATTAATTTTGCTGTTTTACTACATACGAGTATATACGATTCGATAAATTTTCCTGTAGTAGCTTACTACGTATGTCAAATTTACTTTGCGTTTATTTCCAAATATTGACATCGTAGATATGTTGGAAATCTATCATAAAACAGAAATAAATCCACGTTTCAATATCACGTTCAATTCAAATTTTACGTGTCAGGGGAAATTATACGTCTAATAATATTATCTTTATCCTGTCTTTGTCATCGCTAAGAGATGTCAGAATCATTAATATTTACGCCGTATGGTGTTACATGAATCGTTCAGTTTTTAGAATGCAGCGTATGAATTTAAAACTGTCGACTGTGTCGGTGGACACGAGAAACGAACAATAACTTATAAGAATGAAAATCAATATATTACATGTCAATTTTCAATCTTATCTAAATAGAGACACAAAATGGTGAAAAAATTCAGTTCCACACAAGATCATTTCAATATTCGCCAATTTCTAATATCGAGGTGTGATTACATTTTCCTAACCACTACCTTCTCGTTTACTTAATGAAACCGAACCAGAACTGCATACCGTTCCATTTACTTCGCATACGCAATACCATTGTCGAAACTTACGGATAGGTTTCGAGCGTGGTGCTTTTACGCGAGCAGTACGTACACATCCAGGGAACAAGCATCAACATCTTGGAGTCTAGAATCGGAGATTTCTGCAGATTAGACGCATAGCTAAGCAGACGGGTCTAGTATTCATGAATATGGATTTTTCCTACCGGTTAGCTGTGCACCATCGAGGCTTTCGTCTTTAGTATGGTCTCGCTGGTACTATCTATTAACAAATCTGCCTCTCTTTCTCTCTCTCTCTCTCTCTCTCTCTCTCGCATTCACGTACAAATAGATAACTGTGTAAACTAACACAGTTATATGTGTATCTATGCGAATCAAACGATACGTCCCATCCTCGCAACACTCTTTTCGTTGAGTTCGCTTAACGAACCGAACATAACGAATTGGATGTTCTGAAATTTTGCAAATCGAATATTCCAAAACTGCAGATACCACTGTTTAAGTAAAAAATGCATTTAACGAAAAACATTCTTTTTCAGTAGGCTTTGGTACTTTTTGTGCGTATTTATTTTTACACAACTAAAGCTATGTTGGAATATTTTTCTTTGAATGGATATCAGATATTTTGTACTCAGTATTTTTGGTTATTATTGAATGTGGAATATGAAATATTGGGATTTGTGCAAAGGTAAAGAGTAGGAAGGTGTTTTACAATATAATTAATTTTTATAATAACCTCGCAGAGATTGTAGCTTTACAAATTTAATTTCTACACAGTTTCTTAGATTTCCCTCAAATTGTATTAACATGTAACATTTAATTTAAAGTGTTACCTATTCTTATGAATTTATCGTTAATTTTCTTCCATTTCAATGAATGCATTACGAATTATGAATTTCAATCTTTTATCTTCATCTCAACCAAACTGTTTTCCAACAAACTTTTTGCTGGTAAAGTTGGCTCACAAGTGGTTCATCTTGACCTCCTTATTGTTGACGTCCATCGCTGCATTTGTACAGCACAATATTGTAATTAAAAAAAACTCACTTTATTGATATTGCTTAATATTATTAGTATTATAATAAAAAATCCAATTTTTTTATTATTAATACAGGTCAATTATCTATTTATCATCGTAACTAATTTATAAGTTTATACTATTAAATTAATGAATTTGAGTTGTGATTAACTTTAAGCAGAATCCTTGGGATGAATAATCTGACCGTGGAAGCGGAATATGTAGCTCCTGTTTCCTATTCTGACATCTAGGCAGAACTGACAACCTCATTCTCTATTTCTTTCCATACATATACTCATACATTGACACGCCGAATACTAAGTGTATCATTAATTCATGTAGATATGCGTAGCCTGCAGTTGCTATCTACTTGTGTAACATGCAATTTCTTTTTATTAGTGTACTAAATGGTCGCCACGGTTTTACTGCTTTAAACAATGCAACTACACTTTCTTACAAGCAACTTCGGTAAATCATGCAAATTAGAGGTATTAAATAAAAATGCAACAAGCCATTAGGAATCATTTTCTCACTTCATAATCATTTGTACAAAATGGATTTCTCATGTGTGTAATTGTTTACCTTTTCCCGTAAGAAAATATTATTTCTATTTAATTCAAACGTTTTAGGAGTGACTTGTGCTAATCATTTAAACAAAATATGAAAATTTCTCATATCCTTTTAGGATTAAAACAACCTCTTATCATACTGTAATTTTTCCATGCTCCTGGAAATTGTTTTCGAACTTAATTTAGCTTCCGTCTTTAAAAAAGATTACTTTTGTCGTTTGTTCAGTGAACTCTTCGAATAACATCTAAGCATTTAAAAGTCTGACATATTCGAAATCCAAACAATCGATTGCCGTGTGATTTCTTAATAATTTTGTTACTGTCAAAGTATTGGATCTTTATCGAATCATCGCAATAATCAGTGCAGTGTATAGTACTAGTATTATTGTTATAAATAATAGAAGTATTATACGAAGACAAGAATAACGCACAAAACATTTGACAATGATTATCAAATTGGCTTAATCTATCAAGAATGATAATTCTATAGCTACTTACAATTTATCACGTAAGATTTCACAAGAACTTATGCAACGCCTGTAAGATCTCTTTTCATATCAAATTTAACGTTTTTAGTTTCTACCAACGAGACAAAGTAAAATTTGAGTGTGTTTCAATGGAAAAGAAAGTTTTTTCATACGAAGACTAATTGACAGCAGTGCTTCATGAACTTCACGGTGAATGGCTGAGAATGCAATTTTCAGAAATTTAATTCAAAGTTTTGGAACATCTAGTGCGCTGCTCTCAGTTTCTGCTACGTATTAAGGTGTCTTATCGCAAGTTGTACGGCCCTACGATATTAACAATATATCAGGAGTTTGTACATAAAGGCATACTTTCAATTCACAAGAGAATGCTTTATCTTAAGTTTTCCTTGGGGCATGTTTCGATGGAAATTTGATACATTTTATTTTTTGCTATTATAATACTTTAAAGTGATTAGGTTCTCACACTTCTACATGTACATGTAATACGTCAATTATATTTTTACACGAAGATTATTTTAATAAAAAACAGTTACCTCTAAAAGTGTTTTGCGGTTTGAAATAATGTTTTAATAAAATAAAATATTTTCATGCAATTGAAGAAATTAAAAATTGAATGATTTGTATAAATATCAAAATGTCAAAATGCTGGATGAATTTTATACGACTGCGACTCAAAAAATCAAGAGTCCGATCGTTTTAAAAATCTATAAAACGTTTGTTGGTGTTAACAGCACAGTTTTTTACGTTCTCTCGTGGAATTTAAAACATTGAATTCAGGTCCACCAATCCCTTCCATTTTCTTCTTTAAAATCACAACAGCGTTGCTTACATAATGAACCAACTTATGTTTCAAATTATGTTTTGACTCTATTGAATAGTTAGTATTTCTATAATTCTAAATAAAATTGATAACGATTAATTTAAATCAATTAAAATAATTCACGAAATAATATTAAATGATTAGTTTAAATAAAACTCTTCTTAAAAGCAATAAATAAATTCAAAGATAATAAAAGAAATCTCCAAGAGAATAGGTAACTTACTAAAATTGGAAAATTTCAATATTAATACTAATCAGGATACATCGAATGGATAAAATAAACCGACACAAACAATTTAAATATGACCTAACTTCATCTTCTACGAAGCTCATGGCATGCACATCTTTTGGGCTGACCCTCGTATATGCACGTATAGCAACTACTTTATTATATTCACGACACATACTGTAACACGTTTTGCTGTATTACTCGATCTACATTTATATATTACATGGTATCTTTTCACGTTTGATTTTGAACTAGCATTTTTTCTTTCCATAACGACTCTTGATCTCCTCTTTCTCTAACGAGCATTTTACGTGCTACTAGACAAAAATAGAGCCCGCTTCTCCTTTTACATATCCATGAATTAGAACTGTCTCTGCGAGTATCAACATTTTAGAGCCGGAGTAGCGGCGAGGAAGGACTATCGCCGAGCCAAAGCAGCGACTACGAGGATCAAGAAGAACTCGAGAATCAACACTCGGCCGCCGTACACACAGTACGTGACATATACAAGTCCTCCTTTCACAAAAGTGTCTCCTTTCTCTCGAATTTTCTGTCCTTTGTCGTTTCATTCTTTTTTTTTGCATCAGTATGTTTGCATGATCCGTGGCTGTACTTAGAACGAGTGTTTAAATGTACGGTACATAACACTAACCAGCGATGTTTATTCTTGCTGAACTGATGCATGTTCAAGGGGTTTGTAGCAAAGTTACGTCGGTTTTGTATGAGATGCGAAAAACATGAGATGATTTGTTCGTTATCCGTTTTTAGTTACTTTAGGGAAGATTATTTTGTAGTAATTATTCTTTCTTTCTTGTTTGGTTTTATATTGGTTAATGGACTGTGATTAATTATTCGAATTCATGTACTTATGAATATGATTAACACTAGAACTACCAAAATAGCGAGAAGGGTTAATACGTAAATATATTTTAGATTTTTGTGTAAAGAATTATAGAAGTGTATGTTTGGGGATTCGAATAATTTTTGATAAAATATACGGATTTCGATTACTTTGGTACAAATTTAATCGGTAGTTCTAGTGTTAAAATCATTATAATAAGCATTTCACATTGAATGTTTTATATATTTATCTACTAATCTACTAATTAATAAGGGGATCAATGACGCGAAGTACTCTGCAGAAGATAATTCAACATTATGTATGATCAAACAATATTTAAATAAATATTAAACTATTTATTACATATACATATTATAATATGTTTAAAAATATAAATTGTTATTATGTCGTAAGTAATTTAGAAGAAAATTCTTATTGAACAAGTTGAAATAAATTTTGAATTCTGAAATCCAACCATATCACCAATATGAAACTTGGTCATTTTTAAGAATCAACAATTAAGAATGAATTGAATGGGTCAAAACGTCTATAAAAATGAAAATGAAACCGACATTATTTTTCTTTTAACTCAACATACTATAATTGTGGTTATTCTAATGTTTACTATACATAGACATCTAGGATAGTTCCTTCCTTAATTTCTTGTATCTTACCTATCCTCTAGGGTAAGTAATTTATTCACATTATTAATATTCATTTTCACTCATCTGGTTGATCTCTCGTACAACGCTTACATGGCAATAACATTTAGTCACGTTTGACTTCTCTGCAATAATTTTTGTAAAACATACGTTCGGTTTACTCTCTCCAAAAAAAATCACTTCCTTTTAAATCTCAAACCAGATCGGTGAAGTCGATATCAGTTCAAAGTAGAATCGATTGCATGCATGCTTTTGTCATTCGAATTCGTACTGTTTCATTGAATTACTTGCCAGATACACTTTAACCGAGTAGCTAGCGTTTCGTTAAAGACGTACACATATCGAAAAACACAAAAGTAGACGCTTTTGTACATTATCACAAAGATATACAGTTACACAAGTGCGTCTACTCCACCGACAAGTCGACAACGACGTCAGCTCGAGGTCCGTCAGACTCTGTGAATCTTCCACGGTCGTGCCTTACGCATAATCGTTGCATGTTCTCAGTATCACAGAACGATCTCGTTCGAATCACGAAAAAGGATCCAGATCTCAGTCCCTGTTGTAAAAAGATTTCATTGACAGACTTTGCATCGATCATCGAGGAACTACGCGAAACGAACTGCCTAGAATTCGTAACGTATGGCCGAGTAAGGTGCGTTTAGACCAAACGAGCAAAGACACAGAGGGTGAGCGTCTGATTGTGCTCGTTTAGTTAAATGGTCGTTGAGCAATCTGTTCGTAAACTGATTTACACCAGAAGAGCTAAGAATACGTTCTTTTCATATTATTATTCGACCACTGGTTATATAAAAGTACATGTGTCTTTTTTTCTATTGATATGTTGTATGCTCCATCAGGTATAGAATTTTTTGTAAAAAGTAATTATAAATCGAAATATAGAAATTTGATATATATGTGTACATAAAAATAGCGTTCGCTAGTACTTCGACAAGAGATGTAACTCAAATAAATGAGTGAAGAGTTTATATAATTCAAAAGAATCATATAAAATGTATACGGGCATTTCCGTGCAATCCGAAATGAAGTGGAAAAGTAAAAATATGGAAAAGACATATCTTTATACGATCTATACAAAATATGTTAATGTGGATGTTAATATGCTGCCATACGTTACCATATCATGAGAAAAGCAAAATGTTAAAATTAATCTTCGTTTCTCCATAACTCCAAAAGTACGCTATTTAATATCTCATATCCGATAAAAGAAAGAAAAAAAAAAAAAAAAAAAAAAAAAAAA